AAGAACACTGGTTGCTCTTGCAGAGGACTGGTGTTTGGTTCCCAGTACCCACATGGAGGCTAACAACCGTCCTTAACTCCAGTTCCAAGGGATCCAACATCCTCTTTTGACCTCTGTGGACATTACATGATGTGGGTACACTTACATATATGCAGATAATGCACTCATACACATGAAATAAAAATAAATAGGTCAAAAAATTTTAATATGGTGTATAAATATACAGTGGAGTAATATTCAGCCTTTAAAAAGACCGAAATCTTGTCATTTGCAGCAAAATGGATAAAACTGAAGGACTTTGTGTTAAATGAAATTAGACACAGAAAGACAGTCTCTCTCATACATGGAAAATAAAATAAATAAGTAATTGACATGAAGATGCAAAAGGGAATATGAGGGACTGGGGAGGGTGTGGGGGTGGGGAAGAGTAGGTGCAAGAGCAGAAGGACTGGACATGATCAATTCCTGATGTCTATATTAGCATATATGTGAATATCACATTAACCAAATCTCATTAATTTGTGGGGTGAAAGAAAATACCACTGCAATATACTTCTCCCATTCTTACAACACTCAAATGGGTGGGTCCCAATCCAAATTAATTTAATCTAAATTTATATCTCTCTACCCATAGATAAGAGTCGGAGATGGGGGAGGACCAGAGTGAAGGTGTCTTCTGGAATAGACAGAACCACTGCACTCATGAACTTACAGCAGCTGTGGAGGCCTGCACAACACCTGCACAAGATCAAGCCAGTCAGCACTTTAGCATGGAGTGGGGGAAGGGTTTGTGAGCCCTCACCCCTAACTAAGGAGTTATACACAGTAAGGAGAGTCAGTTTTCTTTAAGGGTGTGACCCCTGGTAGGTCAACCATGCTTCAGTGATTGGCCCGACACCCAGAAATATATGGACAGCAAAAATTGGAGATGGTGGGTTATCAAACAAGAAAAGAGGACATGAAGTTGGGGAGTAGGGAAATTCGGGTGGATCTAGGAGGAGTTAAGGGGAGGAGTTGGGGAGGTGATCAAAACATATCATATGAAATTATCAAATAACTAATAAAATACTTTAATTTATGCTTATACACATGCAGTCACAAATGGGTGGCATGAGATAAGACTTCTTTCCTGAATATGTGACAAATATCAAGTAAGAGCTGCTGCTGTGATTGAGTTTAACAAATTTTACTCCTGGTCTCCATCTTCTGGAACTACAGAAACACTGCCTCCCAGATCATCCCAGGAAGGGCACAGTCACTGGGCCATGATCAGCAATCCTTGAGGACAAGTCAGGTACAGGGCACCTGCTTCTCTAAGGCTAGTTCTTGTCAAGCATGATCACAAGGCCTGTTGGTCCAAATCAGCACAGTCACCCCTCATCAAGCACTACCCTGTACTGTGCCAAGTTATTATCACACTATGAACAAAGGAAAGAAATACTTCTGTAATCTAAAAAGTCTGTGTGTCTATAATCTTCTGCGGGATTTCTGACTTCAGCATGATTAACATTTGAAAATCAATAATTTTTGTTGTTGTGGGGGGCAAAGAGGGAGGAGACAGAGTCAAGATATACCCTTCCAAGGCACATGCCCGCCATGTCTGTGCATGTCTGTAATCCCAGGCAGTCAAAAGGCTAAAACAGGAAGAATGTAAGTTTTGGGCCAGCCTAGGCAAGTTCCTGCCTCAAAATAAAATAGAAAAAAGAGAACCGGGAATGTAGCTCAGTGATAGAATGTTTGCCCAATGTGTGCACTGACAAAACTAAAATGAAAAAAGTGTACACTCCCAATGACCCACTTCCCACAACTAAGCATGAACTCCCACAGTTCTACCAGCTCTCAACAGTCTACTCAAATTTTGAATCCATCAATGGACTAAACTATTGGTTAGGTCAGAGGCCGCATGATGCAGCGGTCTCTGGGAACACCATCACAGACATAATCAGAGATGCTGCTTACTAATCTAGTCATCTCTCACTCCAATTAAATTGGAACTCAAGAATAACTAGCATATATGCTAATTTAGTATAATTAATACTATGCATTAAAGATGAGGCTCAAAAAGGTTAAATGACTTTCTCAAAGTCAAGAGTTACTAGGCTTGAACCAACCAAAGTGCTCCTCAAAGGGTAAAGAAAGGGTCACAGTGCACTTAATGAAATTGAGCTCAATAAAGCTGAAGTTACATGGAATGCAAGGGCCATGGTGTCATAGGTCCAAGAACTAGCAACTAAAGACCTCCCCAGAAGACTCAATCCCAATGAACTTGAGCATGTAGCCACCATGGAAAAGCCATTAGTTCATCTGGGTGAAAAAGAAAAAGGCTTTAGTCAGTTTTGATCCCCGTGTCACTTAACTCTTAACCAATGTCTCCAACGACAGCACTCCAGGCACAGGCTTTGTAAAGTGAACCTAGAAGCTCACCCCGAACAATTTATTGGAAGAGCAAGCCAAGTTTACAAGGATTGAGGACTGTATGATGCATGTGGGTAACTTCTTAAAGGAGAAAACAAAAGTCCAGGATCCTTGGAAAAGGCCCAAGTGCTTACACTGGCTGGGGACCAGCTCATCCAAGGTGCCTATATTCCGCATTCATCAGGGCAGTCAGGTTTGTGGTCCTCAAACACTTTGTGATGACTTCATTCGTGAAATCAGAAAAAAATGGCATTTAAGTCCTCGGGGGGTTGGAGAGATGGCTCAGTGGTCAAGAGCACAAACTACTTTTACAGAGAACTGGACTTCAATTCCCAGCACCCACATCAGGTAGCTCACAACAACCTATAACTCCAGCTCCAGAGGATCTGAAGGCCTCCTCTGGCCTCCTTGGTACCTGCATGCATGCACACACACACACACACACACACACACACACACACACATACAGATGCACATATACACATAATAAATAATAAAATTAAGCTTGATTAAAAAAAATAAGAAAGTCCTTGGAATTGACAACCAGGAAAAGTCAATCAACAGTGTGAAGCAAGAATCAACTTCCTGGTTTCCTGAGCTGTCACTTAGTTCAAAGTGTCAGTCTTGAGAGGCAGTTGACACTGCCTTGAATGGCATCAAAACGCTCCTCAGCAAGTCCAGGGAGCTTTACACCAACTTGAACTGACAACTCACCGTTGACATAAAGTTCTCTGAGGACAGCTGAGGAGAGCTGCACATGGAGAGGGTTTGAACTTCCTGGAAAAGGAAATTGATGAGACTAGATTTGAATTCATGAATGAAGAAATACTTGAAAGGAGTTGGTAGGGGACCAGGAGCTGGAGCAGCTAGCCAGAGAAGAATCCTCTACTAGTAAGTAAAAACCATATAGCAGAGCTTGGCCTGCTCATGACTATAATCCCAGGACTCAGGAAGCTGAAGCAGGAGGGTCAAGAGTTTGAGGCCAGGGATGAAGAGATGGCTCAGAGGTTAAGAGCCCTGGTTAACAAGTTCAGTTCCCAGTACCCATATGGTGGCTAACAACCATCCCTAACTCCAGTTCCAGGGTATCCAATGCCCTCTGCTGGCCTCCTTAGGCATTGCACACACAGGTGCACTTACATATATACACAAAAACCCATACAAACATAAAAATAAATATCAAAAAACCCACATTGTTTGTGACAAGGTGAATGAACATGGGAGACATTATGATGAGGGAAAAAAGCCAGGCACAAAGAGACAAACACCTTACAATCTCACTTACATATGGAGTCAACTCATAAACTCAAAAAAAAAAAAAAAAGATATTACCAGGGGCAGGGTGTGAAGAGATGAAAAGATGTTAGTCAAGGGCTACGAAGTTTCAGTTAGACAACAAGAAGAAGTTGTAGGAGTCTGCTGTACCACACAGTGCCTACAGCTTATAGCAGTATATTGTGTAGCTGAGAACTGCCAAGAGAGCAGTTTTTAATTTTCTCACTGTGCACATGTGCACTCTGATTAGTAAGTGAGATGATGCATGTTAAATAGCTTGATTTGGTCAGTCCACAATGTACACCTATTTCAAGACATCATAAAATATATCATTTTATCAATTAATAAATAATAAAGAAATGCATGACATTTTAGAAGCTGAAAGTCCAAGATGAGGTGACCCCATCAGTTTAATCTCCGGTGAGGGCCCTCTTAGCTGTGTGACAAGGGGGCGGGGGCAGGGGGCATCATGGCAGTGATGCATTTGAAAAGAAAAGGTCTTACTGTGAAACAGGAAGTCAAAGCAACTTGGGTCATGCTTGCTCTTTTCAAAGATTTGTCTTACTTTCACTTATGTGTATATGTGGAGGAGGTGTGCACAAGTATATGTGCCTGTAGAGGCCAGAGGTGTTAGGTTCCCTGGAGTTATTGGTGGTTGTTAGCTGCCCAACCTTGGTTGTGGGAACCAAACTCAGGTCCTCTGCAAGATCAGTGCATACTCCTGACTGCTGAGTGTATCTTGAGCCCCATGGTTTGCTCTTTCCATAACAATCCTCTGGCAAGGGAGCTAACCAAAGTCTCATGAGAACTCCATTAGTCTCTTCCAAGAATAGCCCCTCAATGACCTGATCACTTGGCACTAAGTCCCATCTTTTAAAGACTCAACCATCCCTCAACACGGCCACATTGGGGACCAAGCTTCCTGTTCACCTCTTGGTGACACACTCAGATCATATCCAAACCACAGCATGGGGTTCTCAATCTTCTGGGGTTCCTGTGTAAATTTCAATACAAACAATATATGAGATACATTTTATGTGATGCCTGGCTTTCAGTAAATAGTCATTTCTGTTCCATTATTGTTAAGGGGCTTCTACACTGAAATGGTGGCAGTTGGCTTTGGTGGCCAAATCAGATAAGTCCAGGAGAATGGCAGAACCGTGCTTTGCTATGACTTTCTGTTCTAGAAGCAGCCAGAGCCACAAGGCACAGCAGTTAGGGGTGAGTGAGCTGGATGCAGGGCCAGCCCCTCCTCTCCATCTCTTCTCCCTAAAAGGCACCCCCAGGCTGGGCCACTGCTGGCTGACACCATGCAGCTCCAGGCCTCCTTCTCCTTCCTTCTGATCCTCACCTTCTGCCAAGAGCTTCACTATGCATCAAGAAAAGGTTGGTACAGAATGTGGGGTCTCAAAGAGTAGACTGGGAATCAGAGGTTCAGCATCACAGAGTCTGATTCTCACCCAGCAGGGCAGGGAACCAGTTCAGTTCAGGTCATCAAATATCTGCTAGTGTCTGCTTACGTGCCAGGCACTCTCCTAGTAGTTGGAGTTACAGCATGGGCCAAAGACTCTGCTTTGGAGGAATTAACATTCTAATGGGAGAGAGATGGACAATACCTAACATACATGATAGCATCATAGACAGCAAAGGGGGCTTCAAAAGGGGTTTCAAAGCCTCAGCTCATGGTGGGCAAGGTGAGATTATAAGAGATGTGAGCTTCAATTTAGCAGTCAGAGATTTAGATAAGTCAGATTTGATTATAGAAGATTCCTTCCCAGGCCCCTGCCTTGACTGAGGCTTAAAATCTACAAATGAAGATGGAAAGATGAAGGGTGGTACACTCAGGGTTTTTGTGTAACCAGTAGATTCCCTTTTACAAATACTCAGGGCTGGCCTATGGCTCAGTGGTATAGCATTTGCTAGCTTGCACAAGCCCTGGGCTCTCTGTGTGGTCAACAGGACATGCGTACTTGAAGTCAGAAACAACAGGGTTCAGATTCTGCTCTCACCACTGATGAAATCTGTACCTCAGAAATATTTAGTCTCTCTGAACATCAGTTTCTTCTTCTAGAAAGTAAGAGTAATGATTTTATTTGCTTGGATGTGTGTAAACTTGGATGTGTATGTATTTCTCAGTATAACTTTGCTCTGAATAGTTTCTCATAAAATATTGAGTGGGGCATGGTGGCACATGCCTTTAGTCCCAGCACTCGGGAGATAGAAGCAGGTGGAGCTCTGTGAGATCAAAGCCCAAGGTCTAAATAGAGAGTTCCAGGCCAGCTGAGGCTACAGGGAAACCCTGTCCCCCACAAAAAAAATGCTTTGGTCACACTCAGAACACACACACACACACACACACACACACACACACACACACACGGGCGGGGAGATCATTTCCATTACATAAAAAATAGGTTGCTGGACATGGTGGCTTCATGTCTTTAATCCCAGCACTCAGGAGGAAGAGGCAGGCGGATCTCTGTGAGTTCAAGGCCACCCTGGTCTACATAGGGAGTTCCAGGCCAGCTGGGGCTACAAGGAGACCCTGTCTCAAAAAAAAAGACAAAAAAGAAAAAGAAATAAGTTAAGTGACTTCCTTTGGATTTGAAAATTGAGAAGAACAATTTTAAAATGAGTGGAACTTTGGCCTCTACTGAGTCACATAGGGTGCTACTATGCCCAGGATATCCCAAGAACATTCCAATCTGCCCTGTTTCACCTCCATCTTGACTAGATGAGTTGCTCTTTTCCCATTATCCTTCATACCTAGAGTCAGTCTTGCAGGTGAGAGATAGGAAGGAGCCTGAATTCCCCCCGCCCACTACCTGAGCTCTGCCATAGGCATACCACCCACCCATCCACCTGTTCATTCTACAACAAAGGGAGTGGGTTGAGAACCTGAAAACCTTTGCCATCATACTGTGCTGGGTTTGAATTTTAGTCAAAACACTTCCTGGCAAGACAATAGGTCAGATACTTCATCTCCCTGACCTTAGCTTCTTCATGGAACATTAGAAGTCATAATAGCTACAGCAAAGAGGGACAGAGGTGCAGCTTGACTGGTATACATAAGGCCCTAGATTCCATCCTTAGCACCCTCCCCACGCCCACAAACTCCTAGGAGAGTAATTGCAGGGGCTGAGTAGATAACTCATTCGGTGAAGTGCTTGCTTTGAAAGCATGAGGACTGAAGTTTGACCTCCAAACCCCATATTTTTTAAAACAAGAAGAGGCTGAAGAGATGGCTCAGCAGTTGAGAGCACTGGGTCTCTTGTAGAGGATGCGGATTCAGTTCCCAGCACCTACATAGAGGCTAACAACCATCCATAACTCTAGTTCCAAGGCATCTGACACCCTCTTCTGGTCCCCACAGGCATTACATACATGGTTGCACTTACATCCATACATGCAAGCAAAACACATACATATAAAATGTAAATAAGTAAATAACTTTTAAAAAAGAAGAAAATGTCGGGGGGAGCTGGCTGATGGCACATGCTTCTAATCCCATCACTGGAGAGGCAGAGATAGGTGCCTATCAGCCTAGTCTACTTGAGGATGATGAGCCCTAGGCCACTGAGAGACTCTGATTCCAAAAAAAAAAAAAAAGCCTGAGGAACAACACACAAGATTGTACTCTGACCTCCATGTGCATTCACACACAAAAACACTCACACATGTGAACATAAATACACATACACATGCATATACACAAACATACAGGTATGAACACATGAACACACATGGGCACACACAGTAGAAAAGAGCAATTACAAGCTGGGCGTAGTGGTGCACTCCTTTAGTCCCAGAACTCAGGAGGCAGAGGCAGGTGGATCTCTGTGAGTTCAAGGCCAGCCTGGTCATATAGCAAGTTCCAGGCCAGCTGGGGCTACAGGGAGACCCTGATTCTGATAAGTAACTTTAAAAAATGATTCTCTTAAACATATATATATATATATAATGTTATATATATATATAAATATATATATATATTTACCAAACATCTACTGAGAGCTAAGAGCAGGCCTGTGTGGGGAACTAGGGCCACAGGATGAGTGGGCTGAGGTTCCTGTTAAGACTGGTTTTGTTTAAGAAGGGAAGGGGTAGTTATGAACAGTTTACCAGTTATCAATGTATTTTCTATTTATCAGTGCTTTTCATTGGTTGACTGCTTGTTTGTTTTTGTTTTTGTTTTGAGACAGGTCTCACCATGTAGCCCTGGCTGGCCTGAAACTCACTATGAAGATCAGGCTGGCCTCAAACTCAGTTATCTGTGTGCCTCTGCCTCCTGAGTGCTGAGATTAAGGCATGAGCCACCATGCCCAGTCATCGCTGGCTATCTTTAACTTTTCAGTGACTCTAAAAACATGGACACTGGACTCCATTTTTAAAAAAGATTTATTTTATTTTTAATTATGTGTACTTGTGTGTGTCTGTGTGTGGGTACATGCATATTATGCAGGTAGCCAGAGAAGCCCAGAGGAGGGTGTGGGATCCCCTGGAGCTGGACATACACGTAGTTGTCAGCTGCTGGTCATGGATGCTGGGAATTAACCTCCAAAATTCTCCAAGAGTTGTATGTGCTCTTAACCCCTGAGCCATCCTCCAGCCCCTTGTTTCATTTTATAGTGAAGAAAATTGAATGTCAAGGAGATAGGTCATTTGTTCAAGGTTGTGCATCCAGAGTGAAAGATGAAACCTGGCTCAGATTCAAAGCTTCCCCTGAAAGCTGTCCCTTCTGGAACTGACAACCACAGCAGACAGTATCCTGAGGATCTTACCCCAGAAAATCAGGTCTATGGGGACGGTAAAAGGGAGTGACAGAGCTCAGCATCCCGCGGTAGAGAGCCTTGTGAACTGACTTGAGTCTGGTTCTCAGGCAAGGCACCTTCCCTGCTTGCAGAAGCACAAACCACAGCTTCTGTGGAGATGGTTAAGGATGAGTGGGAAGAGGACAGCTGTCACCCAGGACCTCACAACTCCCAGGGAGGGGCTGAGAAGGAGACGGAAGGTGGTGGATTGGGCTTCCTTAACTTAACATTGTTCTTCAGATGCAGTTAAGAGTCCCTTCCCGGCTCTATGCAAACTCCCCTTGGATAAGGGTGAGTGTCGAGCTGCCTTCAGGAGACGGTTTTACAACTTCGAAGCCGGTAAATGTGAGCTGTTCCGCTATGGAGGCTGCAAAGGCAACACCAACAACTTTCTGAGCAAAGTGAAATGTGAGAAAGTCTGCAAAGTCACGTGACTCGCTAAGGAGACCTGAGCTCACCACGGAGACTAGATTGCTAAGGGCCGCCTAAGGCTTTGTGTGTGTGAATAAAAGATGCATTCCTCAAAACCCACGTCCCCTGTTGTGTTCCTAAGATCACTTCGATTCTATGCCTGAAATTGTACAAGTGTCCTCATCCTGTTTAAAATCTTAAGATCTTCCCTGTAAATATAAAGATATGCACAAATAACCTAGGGAAGTTTAGAAGAGTCACTCACATCTTAGTATGAATTTCTGCTCCACCCATTAGAAGATAAAACTTGAAGTGGGAGGGGTGAGTGGAAAAACGGGGGCATGATATTAAAAGAGCCTACACTGGACTAAGGATATGATTTCTGAGGTCTTATGACATGAGAGATTTGCTGTACCAGGCACCACACTAAACAGAAACCAAGGAAGAAAGAGGAGTACGGAGAAGAAAAACCTGAAAATTTTAAGACCACTTTTAATTTTAAAAATAGGAGATTCATTTTCATTTGACAGTGTATTTCTTAAATACGTTTTGGATTTATTCATTTTTGCTTTGTAAGTGTTTTGCCTGGATGTATATAAATGCACCACATGCATGCAATGGCCAAGGAGGCCAGAAGAGGGCAGAAGATCCCCTGAACTGTAGTTAGGGACCATTGTTAGCCACCATGAGGGTGCTGGGAAATGAACCTGGGTCCTCCGCTAGAGCAGCCAGTACTCTT